TGACACACGGCTCGAAAGCAGCGGAGCTTTTATTATGCCACAGTCGACCGCTTCCGCTGCTTCCGGTTGTGCGTATGTGGGAAAAAAGCAGCACTGTTTTATCATACTAGATACTTTTGAAAGTTCTGTTATAATGTTACTCTGTGCGGTCGTCACCGGTCTATTAAAACGAATAACATATTAAGGCGTCTTTGGTGTTTCCATGTTTTCTACAAAACAAAACCGGAAATCGAGGGGTTATGACGTCACTGGCAGGCGACACAATGACACTATGCACACGGTCCGTGTCACTCGTTAAAATTGCTTATTTCTCTGGTTTTATATATTAAAATTGAAAACTGTTATTTTTAAATTGTAACAATTTTAAATATTACTGTTTTTACCATATTTTTGATGTAATAAATGCAGCCTTGATGAGCATAAAAGACTTCTTTCAAAAACATAAAAAATCTTACTGATCCCAAATTTTTGAACGGTAGTGTATATACTATACTATTAAATAAAATAAAAACAGTATATACCTGTGTATATATACAGTGTGTATATATATATATATATATATATATATATCATTTTTCTCACACAGTATAAATGGGTTTAAAAAAATAAATCTAACTTCATATTTTAAGAAAGGGGATCGTCATATTTTGAAGTCTTGTCATTAAAAACTTTGAAAACCTCTTGTTTAGGGACTGTCGTGATTTAGAGATACATAAATCAGCAATACAGTCTTTTAGGAATATAGAAATCTCCCCCATGTGTGCTGTTGTACTGTATATCAGAATGGTTGTGATTCAGCCAAAGATGAGAAACAGCACTTTCCCCTCACTGCTTAAAGCATTCTCTAATTACTCTGCTCAACAATTAAAATAATTGCATTTGTCATAATAATGCAGGCTTATTAAAGATATAGGATCATATTTAACTGTGTTCACTCTGATGTCATCCAGGCCTTAAAGGAATCCTCTTGTTCTGAAAAGACATGAAGGCAACCGTGTATCCCTGGCTTATTTCAGTGCTCTCGCCTGTTCCCAAGACTGGCTTACTGTACGCTAACTTGTTTAGATTGAAAAACTGAGCAGAGATTGGCAAATGCATTGCTTTTAGAGAGCAGAGACAAACTAAAATCCCAGAGTGCCAGTGATTTGTTGTGTTTCTTCTGCACATGGCAGGTACAGCACATTACCTGAGATTTATTAGTGGTGTTTGCTTCTTACTGTCTGACTGCCTTCTGATCAGAATATTAATGTGATGCATTCTATTCATAATTTAATAATAGGCAGGTGATTCAGAATACACATACTAAAATAGAAGAAAGAATGGAGAACTATATTCATTTGCAAACCATATCAGCCACAAACATCTTTCTGCCGACATGCAATAGTTCACTGGCAGTGATAGACCATTATATTCAAATGTAATTTATGTTGGGTCATTACCCAACTGTCTCAAAATGGATGTTCTTGTCATATAGTCTACATTATATACTGATCTATTGTATATTATGGCCTTTGTGTTATAAACCTGTCACATCTGCCACACTGATCTTTGCATTTCTGAGGAATTCTGTTGGCCCTGTTTAGATATAGATTCTAAATGATTTTTTTGTTAGAATAGAAGCTTCTTTAACACTTCAAATAAACTTAAAAAGCTGAATGAAAATAAAATTGGCTGAGCCATCAGAGCAAAAACATTTTGATTACACCTGGACCATTTCTATCATGAACACTACCATTAGTAAAAAGTAGCTCATTTTTAAAAAGTTTCCTTTTGTGGACTCAATTGTTCTGTCAATAAACCAGCACAACAAAAGTGAAACCTTCAGGCATTGCATTCATACACTTAGAATTATACTTTATCCTGTTTTCCTTTTTTTTTTTCATTAAACCATGGAAGCCATTGCCAGTTTTTCTTGTAAAACTAAGGTGCAAAATAACAGCTGTAGCAAAAAACCTTTTCTAGTAAAAATGTTATATTAATTGAAAAACAAGCAGAAGGTAAAGCTTTAGCTTTCACATTGCTTTTAAAGAAAAGTTTATCCAAAAATGAAAATTCTGGAAATACGGGTGTTGAAATATGTGATGGCAGAAAAATCTATTTTGGGAGAACTATTCCTTTAAGGTTATTGACTTTGAACAGGAAGAGGGCAATAGGAAAGTGCGTGAATTTAGCCTCTATCAAACATTATTTATCTTTTGCATATGGTTATAAAGCTCCTGCTGATTTTAGAGAACAGTAATTTCAAGTGACATGGAAACTGATTTAGTTTAGTTTAACTTTATTGTCCATTCTGTTTGTCACAGAGCGGAAATTTGTCTTTGACACTGGTGACATGAATACATCTACATTAATACTTAAAAAGACATCACATATTAACAACACAAACATAAAATTAAACAAATTTAAATAATTAACACTACCCCCATCGTTTCTTACACATTCCAAAATCCGCAATAATACAAAAAAATTATAAATAAATAAAAAATCATTAAGCACTGTTATGGCAGCCATTCTCTTGCATTTACTTCAAACCCGATTTAAAATAATAAATGGCAAGAGCGGATTCCAAATCTTCAATACGTATCTTGATGGATCTGTCCGCTGCTTTTGACACGGTTAACCACCAGATCCTCCTGTCAACCCTATTGGAAAAGGTCATCTCAGGAACCACACTCCAGTGGTTTGAGTCTTATCTCTCAGATAGGTCCTTCAAGGTATCTTGGTGAGGTGAGGTGTTCAAGTCACAACATCTAACTACTGGGGTACCTCAGGGCTCAGTTCTTGGACCACTTCTCTTCTCCATGTCAAGCTTGCGTTCTGCAAGTGAAAGTCACTTTATAGTGCCATCCCAAAGAGGCACAAAATCACTTTCACTGACTTTTAAATTAAATGTCTTTCTCCTGGTGGAATGACCTGCCCAACTCAGTCCAAGCAGCTGAGTCCTTAGCCATCTTCAAGAATCGGCTAATAACACATCTCTTCCATCTTTATTTGACTCTAGCACTCTCTATTCTAATTCTATTGTTAAAAAAACTTGTCTCTTTTAGACTTGCACTCTATTCATTTACTAACTGCTTGTTTTCTTTAAAAAAAAAAAGTATAATCGTATAATCTTTTTGTATTCTATCTATTTGTTTTCTTTTTATTTATTATACAATTAACAAAAGCAAAAAAAATGCCTCTAACACTTGTTAACTAATTTAAAAAAAACCCACCTTGCTGCAAACCTGTATACCATAGTTAGAGTGCTAACGTTAAAACTCCTCAGTTTTCTAAGAAGACCAAGGCGCTGTCTTTTAGTTTATCGTCAATGATTGCTCCTACATATATAAAATTCGAGACCTGCTCTACAGTTTTTCCTTTTACAATGTCTGGTTTGTAAACAGGGCTTGTATCTACTATTCTTGTTTGATTCCTCAAGCATAGCTCTTTTGTCTTTCCAATATTAAGATGTAAATAACTACTATTGAACCAACAAATAATGCTGTCAATATGTTCAAAATATGAGGAGTAATTCATTTCTTTCTGACAGGAAACCAATGCCATATCATTAGCATACTTTATGAGGGAGAGGTTATCATCATCACACTGCAATTCATTAATGTATACAGAAAACAATATTGGAGACACTACACATCCCTGCGGTACCCCAGTATTTAAAACCAAGCAGTCAGACATGACAATATTAATATAAACACGCTGAGGTTGGTCTTTTAAAAAGTCCTTAACCCATAAAATCAACCAACTACTAACACCTAAATCGTAAAGGCGCTATAAAAGAAGGTTAGGTTGGACAGTTTTAAAAGCAGACGAGAAAACCATAAAGAGTATTCTAACGAGTATTCTAATGATGTTGAACTTTATTCAAAAGAGTGAGAGAGGCATCCACAGTGCTCCGATTGGCCAGGTAGGCAACTTGCAGGGGATTGATGAATCTCTCAATTTGAAATGACAATTCCTTACACACTATGTATTCCACACATCTGCAGAGAACTGATGTGAGCGCAATTGGACGAAAGTCATTTACCAGTTTTGCATGGGGTATTTTGGGTACCGGGATGACAATAGAATTCTTCCAGGCCAATGGAGCAAAACCACTGTCCAAAAAAATTTGAAACATCTTTGCACACACATATCCCAGTTGTACTGCACATTCTTTCAAGTCTTTCCCCTTTAAGCCACCTGGTCCAGATGCCTTGTGCGATTTACCTCTACGAAGCAATGTGACAACCTCTCTCTCCTGTATGGTCATAGTCTGTGATTGAATCTTAGTCACTGCTGCTGCATTACTAACCGTAAACTCATTTAAATTGCTATCAAATCTTGAATAAAAAAATATTAAGATCGTTTGCAAAACAGTAAGAGTCCTCACATTGTTGAATTTTTTCCTTTTGCCTATTAGCACTTCTAAACTGAACGCACAACCTGGATTCACACAGACAAACAGAACTGATATTTCCTCTCAACTCTTCGGATGAATCAGCACTCATTACAAGTTCATTAACTCAACTGCTGTTATAGTGCAATTTCAAAGACTTGTGGGGCACCTGGGTTTTATTTCTCCTAATCAATTTCCATCTTAATGGCAGTAAAACTGGAAGAAAACCTTTAGAAATAAAAGTTATTAATAGGCAGGCCGTAACCATGGTTATCCACTGCAAAGCACACAACATTAATAAAAGAGGAATTATTGACAGTGGGACTGCAGAGGTGAATAAGGGTCTGCACAGGAAGTGGAAATCTCATTGGTGAAGCTTTACAAAAAATCTATGAAAAACCCAATCAGAAGGTGAGTAAAAGTGAACAAAACAAATAGCACATTTACAAGGACATGCTTTGGTTAATGCTACTACTGTATATCATTTAATATTTTCACTTCTGAGTGACTAGATTTTAAACCTCTTCACACCTTTGAGAACATATTGTAATTAAAATGGACACAAGAAAACCAATAATGAGACAGTATGATGTAAGTACATCATAAAATATTGCTATTGGACCAGTGGTTAACAGAAAATGTTGTTCAGCCACTAAAGTTCATAAGGTGGACAACTGGAACAATGGATTTACTAAGATCTATTGGTTTTTAGGACACTATGTTGGATCAGACTTACTGAATAAACCACATTTACAAAGACATTATTACTTTGAAATGCTCCGAAAGTCTATGTTAAGAATTACTTTGAGAGGAGCGCTGCCTGCAAGCGTCGCAAACATTCACCTGCCAATCATTTACATATGTTTTGGACATGTCCGCAGCTGGTAACCTTTTGGTCCGATGTATTTGAGACGCTTAAAAAAGCTCTTAACATTAATATTGGCCCTGACCCATTTCTAGCCCTGTTTGGGGTTTCTCTTATGCCTGATTTGACGGCCCGAGATCGTAAAGTTATTGCTTTTAGTACAATCTTGGCCAGATTCTATTCTACTCAAGTGGAAGCATACTTCCCCTCCAACTCACGACAGGTGGATACAGGACATTTTCTATTGTTTTAGGCTTGAGAAATTGAGATTTTCACTCTCTGGTTCACTTAAACCCTTTTACAAGACTTGGGATCCCTTCTTAAACCACATTAAAGGTTTACCTTGTTTACCTCCAAATGGTAACGATCCACATAACTTTCAACTATTAAAATACTGTCTTCAGAAGGAATTTAAAGTTTATTATTATTATTATTATTTTATTCAATTACTCATTTAATTATTTATATTTTATTATTATTTATTTTTCTATCTTGATTTTTTTTTTTTTTTTCTCTCTCTCTTTATTTTTTTCTTTTCTTTTCTTTAAAATTTGAGTTATTTGGGTGGTTGGAAGGTTTATGAGAGAGATTAATATAGACAGTTTCCTGCGGTTTACTGCTTTTTTATGATGCATCCTTCTGTACTGTCATTGAAAATGCTAATAAAAAGATTTGAAATAAGAATTACTTTGAGAAATCTATGTCATGTGATGAAAATTTTGGTTTTCAAATAAATAAATATTTAAGAAATTGCACTTTTGGTGAAGGATTTATGGGATTTAATTTCACTTTTTTCATATTTGTCTTTTTTCACTTTTATACTTTTTAAAAACTTCTTGTATGTTTAATGCTTGAATGCAATTAAAAAACATTGTTCTTGTTGTAAGGTCAGATAAAGACTCATTAAGTAGAGAGTGACCAGAAACATAAAGGGTTTTGAGTGATTAATAATCAATACCTAACCTGATCAAAAAGATTTATGTAATCCATGTTGTATTTAATCTGCATTGTTAACTTTTATATAGGTACAAACAGCACAATTACGAAACAGACAGACTTGGCCATTAAAGGGATAGTTCACCCAAAATATAATGAACATTTTGTCATCATTTACTCACGCTCAAGCTGATCCAAATCTGCATGAATTTCTTTATTCTGCTGAACACAAAAGAAGGTATTTTGAAGAATGTGGGTAACCAAACAGTTGACGTTCCTATTGACATCTATAGGATTTTTTATTTTTATTTTTATTTTTACCATGCTATAGAAGTCAATGGGGACCAGAAACTGCATGGCTACCCATATTCTTCAAATATATCTTCTTCTTTTTTTAAATCTTTTTTATTTAAGTTTTTTTTTTTTTTTAATAGTTAAACAATGAATGATTCATTCAACCATTTCATTCAAAAATGGCAAATCATTCAGGAATGAAACAGTTTTGCTGTTTTGCTTTTTTTTTTTGTTACTATATTCGTCAGAGCATAAAACAAATTAATGTATGTTGTATACATACAGCATACAACTGTTATTTTACAAGAAATATCACACAATTATGCTGCCCCTTGGTGCTCCAATAACTTATCAGAAAAAATCAAGCCTGATGTTTAGAATTACACCAACAACACATTATTGCTTTAGTATATGCCTAAATAATTTCAAATTCAGTCCAAATATAGTTTTCTACTTAAATAATAGTCAATTTTCATTTCAAATTATAGGAAAATTTGTTTATTCTCTCATTAAAGAAGTACACAGTCCTGTACCTTCATGTGTCAAACCCAAGTTTGTATTGCTGTATATGAGAGCCAAGGCTCAGAGATTTTATTTTTTTTTAAGGAAGAAATTTTTTTCTACAGAGAAAATTAATATGAAAAATACTTCTGGAGCCAAGGAATGCAAATGTAGGCAGTCATTGAGCTCCATAGTAAATGGTTAGTACACTATATAGCTGTCTGTACACTATAAACTATATAACTGTCTGTAAAGGATTCAGCTGCATCAAATAAGAATAATTTAAAATCATAAAAGCATGTATAAATGGCACAGACAAAAAAAATTACCTAAACCCAAAAAGACATGACTCACTATCCAGAAGATGATGTGCATGAAATCACACTTAATGACATTAGCTAAATCTCACTTTGAGTTTCATTGGCTTTTTATAATTGCCACTAATCGCTCACATAATAAAAACTGTAAGGGCCATTTTTGGACTGCACTGAACAATTCCAGCCATATTACTCAGGTCTGAATAGCGGTGTAGATGAATAGCAAACAATGCTTTAGATAAATGAAATACTTTTCAAGTCCCTGTGTTCTTTTTATGGCATACAAGAGCATTAAACAGTGCAACCGGCAACCGGCAACCGGCTCAAGATAATGATTTTTAATAGCTTCTTCCATGCATGGTCATAATCTTGTTGAAAAAAAAAAAAAAAGTTATATTCACAAATGTAATAATTCATTTCCGAAATGTGAATTTTTCCTGATTTTTTCTTTTTGGCCGACATCACCAAGCTCTCTCATTGTTCAACTCCTCCACTTCCATCCATCTACCT